GTGAACGGACACAGGAGATCAGGGAGTGAGCCTGTGGATAAACAAGGAGCATTCCAGGCAGAGGGCACAGTTGGCACCAAGGCCCCAAAGCCTGTGCACAAGGAGCAGGTGTCTGGACAGTAACAGGGGCAAGGGGGCCGAGGGCCTTGTTAGCCTGGAAGGAGCAGAGGGGTCAGGACTCAGCTGGGTCTTAGGTTTGAGAAGGACCCCTCAGTCTGGGTGGGGGTGGAGGGCTTCGGGGAGGCTGCTGTCATCCAGGTGAGAGGTGGTGGTGAGAGGTGAGGGGTGTCCATCCAGGCGGGACCAGGTCAGTAGCAGGGGTCAGGTTCTACATCTACACCATTTCCTGACGGATGGGACATGGGGTGCAAGAGAAAGGGAAAGAAGGGTCCAGAAGGACGCAGAGCAGTAACATACCAACATATTTTTAAACATGCCAAAAATGTGTTCCTCTCTGCTACATCCTTACTAATTCCTGATACCGGAGCCGCTTTTATAGAGGGCACCTGCAGAACAAAGGAGAATTTACACAAGGCCCTGCAGGACAAGTCTTGGGGCCCTGCTTGGTCGCATGTTCTCCTCAAGCCTGTGAGGGGAGAAACGTGAAAAAGACTGAAGTGAAGTCATCGGGGTGGGTAATTCTCTCTTATGAGAAATATCTCGGTCCTAAGTGCACATAAGATGAAGGCAATAACCAATATCAAAGTGCATCCAAAACCCACTCATGCAACTTTGAACTGGCTGTTTTTTAATCTTTTTTTTTCCCCATACAGCCAGACAGAGAGCAAGTTCAGCTTTGAACCAGATAAGAAAGCCATCTGGAGCTGTAACAGTGAAAACCACTTCTGGGAAGAAAAAGAGAAAAAAAGGTATTTTTGTTGTTGTTTCAACTATTCCTCCCACTTCCTTCAACTTGTAAGTCACTTCCTTCCTTTCATGGACTGTGTGTTCCCCCTGCTAAAGTAATTACCCCAAAATCAAGTGGAGAAAAAGAAGACTAAGCGTCTGATGGCTTCATATAAACCCAATACAGAACAGTTCAGCCATATCCGCCAGGGGAATTTGTCTTTGGCACATTCAAACAGGCCAAAAAAACAAGCATGGGAATATCTCTGTAACAGATAGCCAGCAGGACCTGATAAATTCAGCCTGGAGGCTTTTCTCCTATGCTCACTACTTAGAAGCAGACACTGAGTCATTGAGAGGGAATTTTAAGAAATTACCAACTCCATAACCTCCGAGCAGGATTAAGCTAAGTGAGAAGCTGCCTAAGTAGCAAAGGTTTGCAGCTAAATGTTACGGAACCAGGATTCTGTTTCCAGCACTTGTCCTGATGCCTAGTCTCAGCATCCTATTCTGAGGACCTTGTGCTCACACCTTCTTGAATCCACTCCAGCTTTAATATTTTGAAGTTATAATGAGACAGCACAAGCTGACCCATCACTGGGCGTGTCATGAGCACAGTCTTTGGGAAACTCCACGTGGAGGCCAACCTAAACTTGTGCTGTTCTGTTTTAGTCCACTTCTTGTGTTTGTTTGTTTGTAGAAGGCAACAGGCCCTTATAATGAAGCTCTTTACCTCCTGGCTTTTTCTTCCTCAATTTTAACCGGTTCTTGTGTGGTCTTTTTCTGTCCTTGAATTATCCTTGTATCTCTTGTATGAATTCTCAGTGAATTAGAAAGATACAACTTTTATAAGCTAAAAAGCCACATGAAAAGATAAAGTGAGAATTTATCAGACTCCGGCTCTGTTGTCTGATGTAAGTACAGTCTTTCCACTGGATAGTGCTAGTAGATTTAGGAAAATCTACTACAAGGGGGAAAGAAGAGAAGGAGGAGGAGGGGGAGAGGAAGGAGGGGGAGGAATGTGGGAGGCGGCGGGGGGAGGATGCTAGGTTATCATTTGTTTTAGACAGTTTCCATTTGGGAATATTTTCAACCAAGAATGCTTTCAGAGGAGTTGGTTTGGGTTCCTGTGAGGATGAGGATGATCAGTGTCTGCAAGACAGGTAGCCATACAGAGGGCAGTCCTTAGACTGGGCCAGATGACACCTGAGGGGAGAGGACTGCTGGCTCACTAATTCTAACTCTGCATCTGGACTTTACAGAAAGTGGTAGCAAGGACAAAGACTGAGTGTCTGTATCATGCTGTGCAGTCAAGTTGGCATTGCATAAAGACCAAAAGGACAAAATCTATCTGGGAACTTCAAGGCTTCTCAAAGCCGGAGAGAGGCTCTGACCACTTCTATTTGTTGAGCTACCTGAGCTAAAATTTTTTTAAGTTAATTAATGGCAAAGGTTTTTAAATGCATAATATTTGAAGTCCTTGCATTTAACAGGCCAACTCTTCTGACACACATAAAATCACAGGAAATGCACACATAACCTCATTAGACGATGACACCAGAGTCTGAATGTGAGGTCCTTCTCAAATATGACTCCCCCTGTGTGCCACTCCCCACTCAAGCCCCCATACCCCCACCCTTAAGCAGACCCTGGAGATTTTAAATCCTTATAAAAGGTGGCTCATTTAAGGGAAAAGTTAAAAAAAAATAAGAAAAAAGAAAAAAGCAATACAGTTATTCATCCTTCAGCTTTTAAATAATAGCTCTGTTGCAAACCACAGAGGAGCTGAATAGACATTTTTCCAAAGAAGACATACAGATGGCCAACAGGCACATGAAAATTAGTTCAACTTCACTAATTATTCAGAAAATGCAAATCAAAATCACAATGAGAAATCACCTCATACCTGTTAGAATGGCTATTATCAAAAAGGCAAGAAATAACGAGTGTTGATAAGGATGTAAAGAAAAGGGAACCCTCAAACACTGTCAGAGGGAATGTAAATTGGTGCAGCCACTATGGAAAACAGTATGGACATTCCTCAAAAACTAAGAATAAAACTAGCATATGATCCAGTTATCCCACTTCTGGGTATTCATTCGAAGAATATGAAAACACTAATTTGAAAAGATATATGCACCCCTATGTTCAATGCAGCATTATTTATGATAGCCAAGATATGGAAACAACCTGAGTGCGCATCAGTGGATGAATAGAAGTTGTGATATATGTATATATAACATACATATATATACACACACATATGTGTGTAATGGAATATTACTCAGCCATAAAAAAGAATGAAACAATGCCATTTGCAACAACATGGATGGATCCTGAGGTTATTATACTAAGCAAAATAAATACCATATCATTCCACTCATATGTGGAATATAAAAACAAAACAAAAATCCCAAAAAAACCCACACAAAAAACATGAACAAACTATACCAAACAAAAACAAACATATTAAACACAGAGAATAGAGCAGTGGTAACCGCAGGGGAAGGGGCAGTGTGGGGAAAGTGAAATGGGTAAAAGGCATCGACTATACCATGATGGATGGAAACTAAATCTTTGGTGGTGCATATGCTGTAGTGTATAAAGAAGGAGAAATATAACACTGTACACATGAAACATAATAACCAGTGTTACCTCAATAAATTAAAAAAAATTTTTTTAATTAAAAAAACAATGCAAGCTACAAGCCTACAAGTTTAGCTAGAACAAAAGGATGTGGGAAGGTGGACCTAGTATGAGGGGTGGGACATATTAAGGAAGACTGCATATCAGGCCAAGAGTTTGGACTTAATCCAATAGACAATGGGAGCCATTAAAGTCTTTTGTCTCACAAGGAATCCTGTGCCTCAAATCAACAGAAACAACTATGTGTCTACTATATATTTACTTTATGGCTTCTTTTCATGCTATCCAGAGTTCACACAGCAAATTAAAAACCAGCTGCTCACATTGGATAATCATTTTCACAGTGTTTATTTGTCTGGGGATGAGTTTGGTCTTCATAGAAGAGTTCTACTTGTTTCAAAATAAAGGGTCAGATTGAGCTGATTTACATCAACCTCCTGGGTGAGGAGTCCAGATGGTTTCCATTTGGTTCCAATTGGAAACAGCCAAACTATTTTTATTCTCTCCTCTTTGTGGACAAGAGGTTCTGGGCCTGCTGCTTAGAGAGCTGAACTTACAATACTGTATGAGTCAAAACCCCCATTCAGAAGCCTGACACCCTTTATTATTCCTTCCAAATGCATGATTACAAGAACTGGACATTTTTACATTTAGCAGCCACTTATAAGTTGATGGAAGAGGCAAAGTATTCCATTTCTATTCTTGCAGAAGGTAGATGTCTATTCAAGCCAGTCGTGCCTCAAAGCATCACTGAACAGGAAGAATCATTAGATCAGTGGTTCTCAAAGTTGAGAAGCATCAGAGGCACCTGGAGGTCTCGTTAAGACAGACTGCTGGCCCCTGCCCTCCAGAGTTCTGAATCAGCAGGTCTGAGATTAGGCTGGAGAATTTGTATGTCTGTTAAGTTCCCTGGTGATGCTGACGCTGTTAGTTCAGGGTCCACATTTTGAAAACTACTGCTTTGGACCCGAAAGAAAACCCGATTGCCTACTCTTGATTTATTTTGCTGAGTAAAGCAAATCAGAGAGCAGAGTGAGGCTCCTAAGTGCCTCTTCTTGGCCCTGGAAAGCACACAACAAACAGGGCCCAAGACCCATCTCTGTTCCAGCTTCTCTATCTCTTCTGGACCCACTCTGGCCCACCTCTGAGCCCCATGGCTCTGTACCAGGGGCTCTGTGGGAACTGTGGACTTGGGGCCTTGGGGGTGACCAGCACTCACGTGGGTGATGTCTGGCTTGGCCTGTGCCTGGTCACAAGCTTGTCAGGTCCATAAAGAGCCAGAAGATAGCTGAAGACTGAAAGTCACTGAAAGATCAACAGGAATAGTCATCTGCAGACAGCTTCTCTGTTATCCATTCAGCCAGTCCTGCCATGTCACCTCAAGGCCCCAAAGTTCTTGGAAAACCTAGCAAGGACTTAGGGGTGTCCTGTCCCTTGGGTCTGCTCTGCTTCCCAGCCCAAATCCTATACCATTGTTTCCAGTACTGTCATAACCCTCAAGGATTTAGAACTGGGAATGCCAGCATGTGACTTAGACACATACAGGGAGCAAAATCCAAACATAAAATGATCAGTCCCCAAGCTTGGGATGGATCAGACCTTTACTACAGTACCAATGCCACCCAGGTGGCAAATTCACATCCCCAAATAAGGCATTATTGCTCATATTATCACCACAGACCATAGGAATGTTTAGTGGCACTAAGGAAGGCAAGAGTCAAGTTCAAAAGTCAAAATGTAATCTTCAAAATAGTTTTATTAGTTGCAAGTCAAGAAGTTATTAGTTATAGTCCTGAACTTATTTCACTTGGGATTTTATCCTGAGCAATAGCTAAAGAATGGAAACTTTCGTGGACAGGTTCCAAGGTCCAAGGTGTGAATCATCCAACACTAACTGCACTTTGCTTCCTTACGTCCTGCAATCAATAGAATTTATATTCTGGCTTATAAACCTCTGGTAATTACACAGGAAATCATGCATACTCCTATGGATGGAAAGAAGCTGTTTTTACAAGTTAAAAATAAATCAATCTCAAGAAGAACATCCTACGGAGACCTGGCATCCACAGATGAACATTTCAGTAGTGGTGAAGCCAAACCGGAAGTCCAATGCCCACCGGAATGTGTGATGCCCACCGGTTGGTCTCAGAAGAGGCTAGAGAGTGAGGGAGAGAGGAACCCCTCTGGGGACCTTCTGTTTCCATGAAAATTCATACTTAACCTTTGGGAGCTGGCTCATATGGGAAATAGAGCTTTCTCTGGAAGGAATGAGAGGAGGTTCATCAACTGGGAAAGAGAGGGCCTTCTAGGCAAAGGGAGCCCCATGAGAAAAGGCTCAGGTTGTGAAAGTGCCTGGAGTGTTCAGCACATGGGAAGTGGGACATTCACCTCAGAGCGGTCACTGGGAGAGAGCTGGAGATATAACTGGAAAGGCCAGTGGATGCACATGGCCAAAAGCCAAGAATGCTGTTAAGGAGTGAGAATTTCTCCTATGCACAAAGGCGGAGCCATGATGCTTCTGAAGCAAGACGGTGACATAATAAGAACTGGATTTTTAAGAAGAACCTTCGGCCACTTTGCAGAGCATATTTTAGAGAGACAGACATCTGAACAATGGAGGCTTTAACAGTAGTTCAGGCAGGAGAAGATGAAGTGCAGAACCGAGGCTGCAGAGGTGGAAAGATAGAGTCTAGGTAAACCTAGGATGGAGAACTGGCAGGACCTAGCGGCTGGTTCAATCAGGGTGGTAAAAAATATTTTTCAGTCAAAAACAATTGGGGAATCTTGGCAATTAACCAAAGAGAAAATCAGAGGAAGCTCAAGGTAAGGCAAGTCCATACTGTATCTGCGGTGTGGCTCCCCGGAGAGGTGTGCAGTTGTCAGAAGCATGTATCTGATCCCCAGAGGGGGAGTGGCAGAAGGGGGACATCTTACACATGGAGGTTCGCCACCAGACTGCACCCATTCCAGTGGTTCAGTGACTTATAAAACCTAGAAACAAAGCTGGGCAGTAAAATCTGCTGTGAACTACATGCCTCTACAACCACTGTGTCACCATGCTTCCCAGTGGATCTTCACAATGCATCCAGGAGATGAGTGTTATGATCTCTATAGCAGCAATGAAGACATTTAGGTTCAGAGAAGTGAAGTGACTTTCTGGGGAGTCACACAGCATTTCTCAGAGAAGTTTTAAAGCTGGAAATTCTGCTCACTTCAGTATATCACCCTGCCTCGGGTACAACTGGCATCACTATACCACTGCTAAGTTCTCCAAGACAGAGGAGGGTTACTTTAAAGTAGTCATTGTTGACGAGCTTGTTTTTGTTTTAAAGTAAAGAAATGGAAAATTAGGCAAAAATAGGTTGGAGTAAACACAGCTGGGGTGGATCAAGTATTACCAGGGGCTGAGCATGGACTCACCCTTATTCCAAGGAATTTGTCTTCCATCCAGAGAAAAGAATTTGGTTCTGCTTGAACTCTGGTTAGAGGCCAGGAGCAGGAAATCCCTGCGCTGAAGCAGCATCAGCTTCCCTACCCTCTAACAGGGCACTGTAACTCACTAGAGGGCTCAATTCTGGAGGGGGACTTGGACTAGCATTTTCCAGACTGGCTCTTTTTCACGGGCCGAGATGACATTGTTACCTCTCTTACCACCAGCTGGAGCGAGATCTGGATTGTTTTCCCATGAGGGTGCAAGTTGTACCAGGCCAGTCACAAGCCAGAAAGCTCCCTTCCTCTCCAATGGCACACATTTATGCCACGTTGGCTCAGTTAGGGGTTTAGACTGGCTGAGAGTGTTTTGTTTCTTTCCTCGTAAAGCTGAGCGACTGCACAGGAATGTGGCCTTTGGCCTATGGCCTTGGCCCCCTTGGCCTCATGCTTCATCACCACTGCTTTCTGGCATGCCAGAAGGGGGCAAAAAGAAATGAGTGCCACATGCGATCAGTATCCACATTGTTACATTCTGGGCAGTCAACTTAACTTTTCAAAGGTGAAGAGATTTTATAAATAGAAAAATCATATTTTACTTGTGTTCATGGATTGTCTCAAGGCATTATTAACTATACTGTGCTCGGAAAAAACAATGAACGGTGAGAGAAAAGTTTCCACTATATGACTGCACTCTACATTAATTCACTCATTCATTCAATACAGTTAACCTACAGTGTGCCAGATATATTATTCATAATGGCTGTCGTCTGCTATCATTCCTATGCTCTGGATGTAAGGACAAATGAGATAGGGACAAGTTAAGCTTATCCACAATAAAATGAAAGGATGGGCTAGTTTTCATCCCTCCAACTATGTTTTGAAAGAAAATAAATCCTCTCTATTTCCTTCAGCAACCCAGCAGATTTGATTCATATCCAAATAAATCAATTGAATTTTTTTAAAGCGTTTATTTTTTTAAACTGGCAAACTAGAATGGCCCAATGTCCAAATTTATCACCTTTCCCCAAAAAGTCAGTTCTGTTTCACTTGAAAATGTACCCTTAGTTATCATCCATTCTTCTCTCTTCCCTGCTCGTCCCACACCCTAGTTACACTCCCTCTCAGCTTCAGGAGGGCAGGAAGTTTTATCTCTTTTGTTCCCTGTTGGATTCCCAACACCTAGAACAGTGCCTGGCACATAAAAGGAGCTCAAAAATATTTGTTGGATGCGGAATGAATTCAAGTACAGAAGCGTCCTGTCTAGCCCTGGGGTTAGGTTCTCAAGCAGGCTGGGCAAAATTAGTGTGTAGCTAAATGAGCCTTTAAAATCCTTTGTCACCCATACAACATACAGATATATTATCTCTTAAGTTCCATGCAGTTTCTTCCCCAGCTTTGGGACAGATCCTTGGTTTTCAGTTAAGCCCCACATGAAGTTGTTGGCTGGTGTTTAGATGGTCACATTGCACACAAAACATGGAACTTCAAACACTTGGAGGCCCCTAGGGAAACGATCTGGCTGTGGCACTGGAGATTCAGCTCTCCTTTCTCACACTTTCTGAGTGGATTAGGCCCATGGCTCTTTTTCTCCATTCCCTTCCCGTTTTTTGTTTTTGTTTTTGTTTTTGTTTTTTCTTTTTTCTTTGCCAAACTCCTAAACTTGTAAATTAAATGTGTACATGATGCCCCCAACAGTACTAAGGCTGAACTTCGTGAAAACTGGATAATCACAAGGGTGAACCAGACTTCAGGACCACTGAACTCGGTCATTAAGTCTACAAAGCCAGGGTGCTTCTTTCTCCTTAAATTTGTCCTTCTAGAGTTCAAAAAATGTGACAATTTTGCAGGCTTTTTTAAAGGGCTGAATCTCTGTATGAGGCTGTCACTTCCCTAGGATCAGCAGACAACTCATTCATCTTCTACCAAGAGATTTCTAGAGACATCGATTTTCCTCTGTAGCCAAAGTAAAGGCAACAATTTAAATCTTAAATGAGATTTTCTTTCATACAGAGCAATTTTGGGCTTGCAGTTGTAAAGGATGAAGGATGCACTGAGTGTTTTTTTAAAAAGGCTTCTTAAATTATATGTATTTCCTTGACTACACTGCAAAATGCATTTACTCACACAAGTCAAATCAGTACAATCTTAAAAAATAAAATCAACTTAGCTGTGGAGTGGGGAAACTATTGTCTAAAAATAATAAAATACTCTAATTTATTTTGCAGGAATCAAGAAAAAAATTAAAGATTTGACTGAAGCTGGTTCTTGGTTAGTGAAGTTGTATTTAGCAGATAACGGCATAGATGGAAAAGGAAAAGAGGGAGAAAATAGCTTGTTGGAATTCACTCAAATTTTAACACGGTGAGTAGAAAATTAAGAGGCTTTACTTGTTCACCTTCCAAAACTAGGTGCTTGGGTTAAATCATGGGGAAAATGATTTAATTGCAGCTTGTTAACAGTGCCAAGTGAGATTTTTCATCTGAGAGTGAAGTAGTGACCCATCTTGGTCTTGGTACATCATTTTATGGGAAGACCTGAAATCACAATAATGGCATGGCAGACAGTTGTACGTAAGCCCACAAAGGGGTCTCAAAGACCTCATTAGAAGCTCCATTTTAAGAAGTTGGCAACTAAGCAAAGACAAGAGGTATGACTTCCAGATTCTTCTTTCCTACGGTCAGAATGAATGTAATGGAAGATGTAAGCAGTGTGACCTGAGGAAGAAAGGCAGTCTACTCAAGAGTGAACACTCCTTTGTGTTTGATTACAACGTTGTTCCAACCTCCTTAGGGAGAAAGAGCTATTCTCAATAGCTTCTGGAAAAAACAGACTATTTTCTTGACACATTTATCTGCACAACCTTGGACATCTCCCTATCCACTTTCCTGAATCCACACACCCAGTGGGCCAAGCCACAAGTGAGCATTTTTAGCAATGTAAGAAAGCTTTCTGGATAAAGAGGGCTCTAAGCTACACCATCTTAGGACATCAGTACTTGGGGCAATCAAGGGCAACAGAACACAGCCAAGATTTGAGGCTTGAGGGCTTGAAGGATGGCAGTTTATCATTTTAGAAGAAAAAGATTCCTTATCTAATATACTTTACTACCTTATTCAGGAATGTTGGGAAGATTTCCAACTTGGATAGTTTTGCTATTTTTTTAATAATTATACTAATAAACTTCATTTTATTAGCCTTTCAATATGATGCTAGATTTAATATATTGCCAATGTATTATCCTTTTAGTATAGTGCTAACATTTTGTTAAGGATTTTCACATCTATTTTCATGAAGGATATTAGTTCATAGTTTTCTTGTAATGTCTTCATCTGGTATTGGGATCAGGGTAATTCTGGCCTCACAGAATGAATTAGGAAGTATTCCTTCCTCTTCTACTTTATGAAAGAACTTGTGTAGAACTATCATTATTTCATCTCTAAATAGTTGGTAGAATTCACCAGTGAAGACATCTGGACCTGGAGTTTTCTTTATGGGAAATTTTTTTTTAACTACAAATTCAATTTTTCAATAGATAGAGGGCTATTCTGGTTATTTTTTCTTGGCTAAAGCTTTGGTAGTTTGTGTCTTTTCAGGAAATTTGTTCATGTCATTCAAGTTTTCAAATTTATTGGCATAAAGTTATTCATATATTTCCTTCTAATCCTTCTCATGTCTATAGGCTCTATAGTGATGTCTCTCCATGCTTGAAATTGATCGTTTGTTTTCTTTTTTTTCCTCCAATTAATCTGGTTAGAAATTTATCAACTTTATTGATCTTAAAGAACCAGCTTTTGGTTTCCTCTAATGTTTTTCTTTTTTCAATTTCATTGATTTATTCTTTTATCTTTATTATTTCCTTTATTGTTTACTTTGGGTACAATATGCTCTTCTCTTCCGAGTTTACTAAGGTAGAAGCTTAAGTTATTGATTTCAAATACAAATGTTTATATTAACATTGTTATTTCAAATATAAATGTTTATATTAACACTAAGCACTCTTTAATTGCATCCTACCAATTTTGATATGTTGTATTTTTGTCATTCAACTCAAGCCATTTTCTAGTTTCCCTTTTGATTTCTTCTTTGACTTATGGGTTATTTAGAAGAGTGCTGTTTAGTTTCCACATATTTGTTAATTTTTCAGATATTTTTGTCTGGTTGATTTCTAATTAAATTCTGCTGTGGTTGGAGAACATACTTGTTCTATGGCTCAGATTACGATCAATCTTGGTAAGTGTTCCATGTGCACTTGAAAAGAATGTGCATTCTGCTGTTACTGGGGGAAAGTTCTAGAAACATCAACTAAGTCAAGATGGTCAGCAGCGTTGTTCAGGTGTTCTATATCTATAAATTTTCTGTTTACTTGTTCTATCAATTACTGAGAGAGGGATAATTGTGACATTTATATCTCCTTGCAGTTTAATCAGTTTTACTTCATGTATTTTGAAGTTCTGTTATTAGACACATAAACATTTATGACTGTTAAGTCTCTTAAAGAACTGACCCTTATTATAATGAAATCCCTAGTAATATTTCTCTCTTATCTCTGGTATTATTCCCTCCTCTGAAATCTACTTTGACTAATATTAATATAGCCACTGTAACTTTCTTTTAATTAAAATTAGCATGATATATCTGTCTGTGTCCTTTTACTTTTAACCTATCTATGTCGTTATAACCAAATTGGTTCTTGTAGACAGTATATAGTTGAGACCTTCTTTTAAAATCCATTTTGACAATCTCTGTCTTTTGTTATTTGGACTATTATATTTAATGTGACTATCAATGTGGTTGGGTATTTAATCTATAATCATGCCATTTGTTTTCTGTTTGTCTCATTTGTTCTTTGTTCAGTTTTAACTATTTTTCTGCCTCTTTTTGGACTGAGTAATATTTATAATTCCATTTTTGTCTCTTATTGTTTCATTAGCTATACTTGCCTATTTTTTTTAGTGGTTGCTATAGTGTTTATTCTTTTCATTTTAACTTATCACAATTTTCCTTCAAACAATATATTATTTCACTTACAGTATAAGAATCTTACATTTCCACTCCCTCTCATTCTTCTTACTATTGTTGTTATATATTTTACTTTTACAAACGCTATAAATCCCAGAATACATTACCATGTTTGTTTTAAGCGGTTAATTCTTTTTTTAAATATGGGGCAAAGTCTTTTATACTTATTTACATTATCATTTCTATTATTATTACTGTTTCTAGTGTTCTTCATTCCTTTGGATATATCCAAATTTCTACCTAGTATCATTTTCTTTTTATCTGTAGGATTTAATTTATACATTTCTTATAGTCCTGATCTGCTGGTGATGAATTCTCTGAGCTTTAGCATTTTTGAAAAGTCTTTTTTGCCTTCATTTTTAAAGTTTTTTTCCTTCTGGATACAGAATTCTTGGTTGAAAGTTAATACTTTCAAAATGTTCTCCACTGTCTTCTGCTTGCATTGTTTTTGAAAAGAAGATTGCTATCACTTTCATCTTTGTTCTTTTCAACATAATTTGTCTTTTTTCTCTGGCTGCTTTCAAGACTTTCTCTTCAGCACTCTAGTGCCCTAACCAATGTAAACTCATAAAGACAGCTTAGTCCAAATTTAACATCCATGGTCTTTGTACCATTCATCTATTCCGGGCCTTTTCAACCTCACTCTGTCTTCTAGGCAGTGGGTGACTTTCTGATGTGACTTATGAAATGAGCTGCATGCTTGCCTCAAGGACAGCTTCCCTACCCATTTCCACCTTTGTAGATCAACCCTCATTTTCCTTCTGCACCTCTCTTAAGTGCTGACAGGCCGGTGCCCTGGAAGTAAAAGCATCATCTTTACAAGCTTCCATGCCCCACCCTGGCAAGCCCAGTTCTGAGCCAGCTGTAGAGCAAGATGGGAGATGATCAAACAGGCTCCAGGAGCATTCTGGGGAACAGATTTATGGCTTCCTGCCTTTTATCATTGAGGGTACTAAGTATCTACAAAGGAGGAATTCAATGGATGAATTTGGAGGCAAAGAACTGGTCAGGCTACCTGCTTTCAAAGTCAACTCCAGGGGTCTACTTAATTGAGTATTTACATTGAGGTGGCTTATGCATATGCATTTATGTTGAGGTAAGGTTTGGTGATGGAGATTATGGGGCACTAACTACTTGCCTGCCCAGTAGCCCTGTTTGCCCTCAGTACTACATGGGTCTAGCCTCACTTTCAGATTACCTGGTCCAGCGACAAGGGGTATCATGCCTTTTGTTTGTGAAGAGGCCTTACCTATCTCTGCTGCTTAAGCCTACCCCTAAAGGCAATTATCAGTGGATCCTTTGGGCTTAAGGCAGGAACCAAATGCTGGTTTGGGTGCAGGAACCCTGGTTCCCTCTCTCATGAACCAGGCCTCCCTCTGATTACAGTTCATCTAGTAGTGGTCTGTGGGGCTAACAGAACAGTACAATTACTTAAGGCTGACCATTTGTCAGATTTTGTTTTCTGCCCTGACCACACTAAACATGACAGCAGAACTGGCTACAGAATTTGTAGGGACCCAGTGTAAATGCAAACTCATGGGCCCTTGTTCAGATATTATTAAGAACTTCAAGATGACGATAACAGAGCACTAAACCAAGTGAGGAGCCCTTCTGAGCATGGGGTCCAGTGCAACTGCTGGCTCTGTGTGACAGGGACGAAAATACCACTAACAAGAAGAACCAGAGCCAGGAATTCCTTGTGTTTTTTCAGTTCTGACACTAAATACTTATATCTATTTGGCCTTTTTTTTAAAGTGTAAATATTGAGAACTGCTGAAAATTAAAATTTTTCTTGGTATATTTGAATCATGATTCATGGTTATTTTCAAGCAGACTGCTGGAGTTCAGATCTCTGCTCCATGATTTAATCTATAACTTCTCTGTATTTCAGCTCCTTATTTGTAAAAATGAAGGTAATAATAGTGACTAACTCAAGAGACTGTTACAGGGTAAATGAGATCATATATGTAAGGTGCTAAATATAGAGCCCAAGGCTCCAACTAGCACCTTGATACAAATGAGAAAAAGAGTCCCTCTGGGCAGATGAACTAAAGGGCACTACCTCTCATCCCCAACGAGTCAGAGGAAGTTACCCCTTCGAGGGCTATGCTTCAGGCGCAGGACTTAGCAAGCAGACGTTGGCTGGATTTCAGCCCTCCTCGTACCCTTGGAAGGCTTCTTTGTGCCAGGCACAAGTGCTTAAGCATGTGGGTGGCCATGATCACATCCAATAGCGAATGCTCCGTAAAACCATGGCTCTTGTGAGGCCTGTGTAGTGTAGTGGTTAAATCCATGGCCTCTGGAATCAGACCTAGATGTAGAATTGTTGAGTTGTGAAGTTTGTCTTCAACACTCTTCACTCCTTCTGTGCACCCCTGCTTCCTCCTTGAAGCATCCCTGCTCGCCCCCATCTTGCCTGAAGGACTTGGACACAGTTGGGCAGTTCAGGAAGCTAAAGCCTGTCAAGTCCTGATTAGACAGATTGTTTCCTTGGGAGCAAGATCTTTGAGAGGCAGAGTCTGGCAGGACCATTCAGCCCTGGCCTTGAATTCTGGCTGCTGAATCAATAAAAAATGTGTACAGGGAGCAAGAAAATGGCCTTATATTCACTACTGACTCTAACTGAAATTTCATATCCCCAGCACATGGTAAGGGTTCAAAATTGCTTTATGGATAGTTATATGATAATTTCTTTCAGAGCAGAGGCCATATGTTAAATTCCTTTTAATCCCTGCAATGTTAGGCACGTAATATACATCTAGTAAGTATGCGTTCAATATGCATACTTGGTAATGCATTTTGCCAGATGCTTCCATAGGAACTGCTTCATTCTGTTTTTATCACAACCTTATGAAATAGGCAGAACCGCCCTTTTGAGGTCAAATTTACGGATGAGGGAGGTGAGACCCAAGAGAGCACATGGCCTACTCATGATCACAGGGTTGACAAGAAGTACAGGCTGACCTGGAACCCAGGCCTCCCCACCCAGAGTCCATGTCCACTCATGATGCCAGAGATTCCCAAAGTCCAGTTGGCAGGCCAAGGCCAGGACATGAAGGAATTTTCAATAATCCTCAAAGAGATTAGAAAAATAAAGACAGGTGGAGTGTTCATTTTTCATAAAGCTAAACTTACTTGATTTAAAAAGCTAGCCTTTATTTTGAGACTATGCCCTTCCTACTTTTATATAAAAATACTTGTTATTGTATAGTGTTGCTAGGTGAGAGTTGTTTATTTGATATGCTAGAAGTTGCCAAACTGACCTCCGTCTGTCCCCCCAAGTTATTTGACATTTTATTTTCTGGTGTGTAAAATCTAAAAGACTGAGAAGCTCTGCAAAATTACACACCATGTCTTTTGAATAAATAAATGAATGGAAGATTTAAGACAACTAAAAATCTTTATCCTACCAACTTACTTTGGAGAGGCATTCAAACTAGAGAGATTAAACTGGGGGGAAAAAAGAAAAAGCTAGATTCAGGAGGTTTGCAGTTTCAAATTGGGTCAGTGCATCATCTCTGAGGGGGGGGGAGGCGGAGAGGATCTAAAAAGAAAGAGCATACTGCAAAATAACTGGATTGAATTTCTTTGAGTAACCACGCTTGGCACACCATTTTGCTTGGTCATTTCCTCTGGTCAGCCTGATCAGATACTCCACCCACTTACAAGAGCTTGACCTTGGAAACAATGTCCTGGGGGAAGCGGCGGCTGCTGACATACTTGAAGCACTGAGAGCCAGAAAGACAGGTAGGGTGCTTCCAGTTTGTGTTCCCCTCCCCCATCCACATCCACTCCTTCCCAAATGCTGTACGACCTACACTTGCCCTACTTTTTCCATTAAATAACTGGCCTGAGCTATGTGATGACCAGGACCACTGTCAGAGGCTGGCCACCATTGTGTTGATTTGCCCTGTGATTTGCACTAAGTTCAAGAGCTCTTAGGACGCATATGTAGTCTTTGATCTAAGCAATGAATGTTGTTAAAGTGAAATTTTCTCTATTGCTTTTTCTTCTCCCTCCTCTCTCATCCTCATCTCTTCTCTGAGGAACTCTCTCCCAGTCTCTATTCTCCTCCCCAACCCAACCTGCAAAGATTTCACCAGAGAGCAGCTGGAAGACTCAAGTAACAGCCCTCATAAGATTCTGATGTGCTTCCTGGATCATCAAAGAACAGTTAAAGAGTGATTGGCATAGAGACAGCATTACGGGTATTTTTATGATCATGTAATCTTTTGAAAATGACAGAATTACATATGGAACAAGCTGTTTAGTACTGGCTACACCTGTCCTCTCCTTCACAGTATGTGTGACCAGAATTAATGACATCCACTCTTACTGCTGACCGAGAGATGAGGAAATGTCATTTTTAATGAAGCTCAGTGAAAGGCATCATAAACACATTTGAAAATTCAAATTCAGTGTTAACCAAAGAGGGGAGAAATCTTGGTGCTCTATCTGGTAGATTATGTGGAGAGAATTAGGTGATACAAGCACCCAGTTTTTTATCATTTCTACAGTAAAATGGTCTTAGAGACATTACATAATTTTCTATTGCAGTTTTTCAATGCTGGCAGTTTTAGAGAGAACTGTAATATTACTGTGTACCTCACTGCCACTTTTCAAGTAAAACTACTCTATTGCCATTTCTTAACAGCCAATCAAATGATTCTTAAGATTTTTAAATTATTTCTTTATTTTAGAGAAACAGAACATCTACTTTCTAGTCCATCTGAGTTGAATTCAAATTCAACAGAATTATTCTGTTAAAATTAATTCAAATGTAACTTTAGGCTCAATAAACTGAAGGCAGGTTAATGATTTCATTTGGTTTCTCATGGCACTGTAGTAACCTTCTCATTACGCACTGCACAGAAGACTCTGTAAGAGTGCAGCAGTCTTCTGACCACCACTACAGTGGGTGCTAATGACGGGTGGCGTCAGATAGTCTGACAGAGAACGATTATCATTGAGAACCATCTGGGGCTGCAAAACATTGTGCTTGCTTAGTAAATGCGTCAATTTTCATAACTGGGAAGATGATCATAAAATACCTACCTGAAAATAACTCATTTAAAAAGCATTACAAAGTAATTTCTTGTTCAAGAAATCAGTTTTTTCCCCAAATGTGCTGGTATATATGAGTAGCTTTAATGCATCCATATTTTGAACCAAAATAATTATGAGCCATTTCTGATGGAGTTGTTCAATCAGATTGTTAGTCTGAACAGCGAGAAAGACTCCTCAAAACAGGGTTACCTGTTTGGATTCTATAGGGAAAATGTCTTGCCATTTAGCTCTAACGGCATCATTTTAAACATTAAAAGCAATTAAGTGATATCATTGCTTATAGAGCTAATGTTCTTCTTCTGATTGCTTCTGTGTTCTTATCATTAGCAAGTTAACAAGCTAATTTCTGATTCTAATTCTAATTCTCTTGTGAAATCCAATCTAACAGCCTAAAGTTATTTATTTGCCTCCCAAGGAGTCCTAATGACTTTAATGATGGAACACACAATGAAAACTTCCTCAGAAATATTAGCAACCTCACTTCGTAAAAACAAAATTAACAAAAAGACAAACTGCTATTCATATCTTACAAGCTTGTTTTCTGACAAATTAAAAAAAAACAGAATACTTCAGGATCACTTCATTTATTTATTCTTTACTCACTTCTTTCTTTCATATACATTTATTAAATGCCTACTATGTGCCAGGGCCTGTTCTAGACTTTGGTGAGCAATGAATTCCTGCCTTCCCGGGGCTTGCTCCCTAGTGGAGAATGACAGTAAGTCAACAACAACTTCAAAAAGAAGTAAAATATATACTATTATATATTAGATGGGGGTTATACTTAAGAAAAAAATAAAGCAAGAAAAGGAGATAATGTGTGTATGTCGGGGGCAGGGGGCTGCAATCTCAGTTAGAGCTGCCAGGGAAAGCTGTACTGAGAAGGGATATTTGAGTAAAGACCCAAAGGAGGGAGGGAGCAAGCCATGTAAACATCTGGGTGACGCACATTCCAGGTAAATGGATCAGCAAGTGCAGGGGCCGTAAGGCAGGAGCCTACCCGGTGTTCCAGCACCGGTCCGGCAGCCAGCATGGCTGGAATGGGGTGAGAGGGAAAGCAAAAGTAATAGGACAAAAATTCTGAGAAGTAAGCATGGAGGGCAGGGGGACTACTCGACAATTATGAGGACTTTAGTTTTTAACTCTATTGAGATGGAAAGGCATTTGAGAATTTTAAGCAGAGAAGTGACCTAATCTGACCCACATCTTACCAGCTCTATGTAGAAAACAGATTAGAGAGGAGCAAGGGCAGAAGCAGGGAGGCTAGTTAGGGAGTTTTCTGTGGAAAAATTAAACAGAGCCTTTCAGCAGACCCAGGGCACCCAGCAGTGAGGGTGAGGTGAGAAGTTGCAAAGAGGAGGATCAAGGAAAATTCTGCACATGAAACAGTTGGGACTCAGCCTTTACCATCACCCAAGCCTCCTGTGTCTGCCCTGCTTCCAGAAGACTGATAGCCAGGTAGAAGGCTGGGGTATTCTTTGAGAAACTGAATAGCCCCAGAGAAAGGAATTCAAGATGCTGATGGCTGGCCAGCCCTTCACTATTCAAAGAAGCCTAGCAGGTAAGCAAGGAACTTACCATCGCATATACAGGAGCTTCCCGTCGGCCTCTGGATGTCTCCTGCTTCACTGTGAACAGAAAGCTGACAATCTACAGACACATGAGCAATCTGCCAACACAGGAAACCAAGCCTGAAACAGAGAGAAAAAAGGAACCCTGAAGACACAGAGACAATGCAGAAAATTTTAAAGAAATTAGTTGTAACACCCTTAGTGAAACAGAAGATAATGCATCTGTAAAACAAGAAAGTAAAAATGACAGCCAAGGTAAAAATTTCAGAACAAATGCCTAAAGATGAAGTCAAGAAAATCTTTAATGAGTAAAACAAAAGATATGGAGATGAAAAATTGGTGAGAAAATATAAGAGATAGAGGTTCAGTCTAAGAGCACTGGTATCTAACTCATTGTTTCAGAAAGAAAGTACAGAGAAAAGGGAGGAAAGGGGATTATCAAAGGAACAAATCAAGAATGTTCCCAGAACCAAGGGACATAAATCTGCATGCAACTGAGAGAGGAGCCCTCTAAGTGCTCAGCACAGTGCAAGATAAACTGTATATCATCATGGCATTTCAGAACTCTAGGAATAAAGGGGACATCCCAAAAACATACAAAAAGAAAAAAAAGGTTGCATACAAAGGACTGAAAATCAGAAAGACCTCAGACTTTCTAGTGGACAGCTGAAGGCCGAGGGGCACTGCCATGACAACCCTATGAGACTACACATTCCCAACGCCTAACCGAGTATGAGGATAGACCAACGATGTTTTCCACTCACAAGGACTCAAACTCTGTACCTCTGTTCTCAGGAAGCATCCAGAGAACATGCTTGAGCAAAATGAGGGAATAAATCACAAAGACAAAAAACACAGAATCTAGCAACCAGCAGAACCAGTACAGAAAAGGGTGTCCCAAATGGTGGTTGAGGGTCAGACCTAGTCCAAAGTGGAGCAGAAAACCGTAAGACTCTGGATAGGAGGAATACCAGGGTAAAAACTAAACTAATGGAGCACTGAAAAGGCTTACATATTTTGAAAGAAATACTGAGAGGTATATGAGAAAGAAATTTGGGGGAAATAGGTACATAGAAAACTATGCAAATGAGAAAAAAAGGGCAATTATTAATTCAGGCAAAAAGAAAGTGATACAAGAAAAAGAAACACAATAAACAAAAGTGTATGATCATACCAGTGAACACAATGTGTTGATTTAACTAAAAATTGTAATGTATCTCTACTGGAAGGTTTGATGAGTGGAAGCGACAACAGTCAATATGTTAAAATTTAAAACAGAAATGTCAATACGTAACAGAGTAAGTACTTAGTTTGAAGTAAGGCAGTAAACATGAAAAACAGGTGAATGAGTTGAGTGTCTCTGGAGAAGAGGGCTGAGGCTGCTGAGATGAGGGGTAAGGGTCTGTTATAAATTATAAATTATAAAATTTTAGCCCTATTGCATTGTTTAGCTGTATGTATACATCACTTTGATGGAAATATTTTTAGAGAGTTGAAAAGTACATAGCTTTCTCACCAATGCCATTCGTTGTCATGTAACTCACCTCAATTTCTAACACTAATCTTACCTTAAATTATCTCAGCTTCCACTAAGGAATCAGAGGCCTCAACACTATGAGGCATTGAAGAATTCTACCTAGAACTTTATAAGGAAGAAAAGTGAAGAGGGTAATTAAAAGTGTGGTGTCCAGGGACCATGAGTCTTTTGTGAGTCTGGGTGCCATAGGAATACTGCGAGGACTCAGGCTGGCCCCCACACCACACTGATGGTCCATCAAGTGGTCTCCAGCCCCTGACACTTGTCACAGCCTGAGCCGCACATCCCACACTTCCTCCTGACCTTCTCAGTGGTCAAGACTGTGGACCTTGTTTTCCTATTGCAGACCTTGCCCTCCTCTACCTTGGATCTAACTTCTTCTTTTCTTTTTAAACTCTGAGCTTTGTTTCTCTCCTTGACTATGATTTATACTATCTGCTATTAAATTCTGCATCAGTTACATTAATGTTTGGCCTGTGTAACAGAACCAGCTACAGTGACTTAATCAGGTAGAGAAAGGGTAGGCAGGTTAACAGACACTTTACTGTGTCATCCGTGTCCCAGCTTCCTCTCTCTTTCTCTACCTTCAACCTTAGCAAGTGGCTTTTATCCTCATGGTTGCAAAGTGGCTGCTTTGCCTATAGCCTCCCATTTCCATCCCACACCAGAAGGAAGGGACAATGAGAAAGTACTGGTACCAGTGTGACAAAATCTCAGGAATCCCCAGCATAGTTCTGCTTATGTCTAGTTGGTCAGAAGCTTGTCACATGTCCACCCCCTATGCCAAGGAAGACTGGAAAAATTGTTTTTTTAGCTGGGCAAATAGCTGCCTTAAAAAAAAAAAAGAGTCCTTTTAACAAAGAAGAAGAGGAGAAAAGATACCAGGGCAGGGATCTAGCTGTCTTTGCCTCAAACCCTTCTATTATTTTTCTTTTACTATTTGGGGATTTTTTTGAAGTATAGTCAATTTACAATGTTGTGCTAATTTCTGGTGTACAGCATAGTGATTCAGTTATACATATATATATTCCTTTTCATATTCTTTTCCATTATAGGCTATTACAAGGTATTGAATATAGTTTCCTGCCTCAAACTCTTTTAGATTGCTATAGATGAGTTGGTCAGCCAGTCTTTTTGTACCCTAGACCTTGTCAAAGGCCCTTGAAGCCAGCAGCCCCTCTAGAGTGGCCCAGGTGAGACACTAAGGTCTTTATAAGACATCTGGCATGGCCCCTTAAGTCAGCTAGCAGACCTGCATCTACATAACCTGCTGCTCTCCAAGGGAACATGGAAGACACACACCTGGGCCAAAAGTAGACTCAGGAAACATAAGCGGCTACTGCACAACTTCCCAATTTAGGAAGGACCCTGGGAGATGATTACCTTAGATTTTATTATGGACCAACCAGAGCAAACCCCCCACCTTGATTTTCCGTGAGGAGCTATGGGATGGAAGGACCCTCTAACACACCAAGTACCAATAAGCACTGCTCACTGGAAGACAATATCCAACTAGGATACTAACTTTGCTTCTCTTCCAAGCGTATGTGTACCACCCAGACCCTCAGTGACCCAGATTCTGGCCCTTTCCAAGTCCTGAAATTATAAACCGTACTGTCATACCTCCAAGTCTGTCATCCTCCACCACCCTTTACTGTGCCCAGCTTGATTTGATCCCACATCCTTACAACCATTTTCATGTTTCAACCTCAATTCAAATCCAGGTTGTTACCTGTACTTCTGACCAACTGGCTGTAAATCAGAGTCTCTCACGACCGCCTCCTTGGGTTCAATTAATTTGCTAAAGCAGCTCACAGGACTCAGTTCACTCACTAGACTTAAAGATGGAGAGCCGATAACGTAATGAGAGGTGATGAATGACAAGATCAGAATTTTGCTTTCAGATGATTAATCTGGAAGCAGGGTCCAGGACAGATTTGAGACTGAGGAGGTCTACGGTTAGGAAGACCAGTTAGGAGGCTACTGCAACCATCCAGGTAAAAGATACGACAGTGGGAACAGAAAAGAAAGGACTAGTATAGGAAGTTATTACAGAAATAAATTATTATGACCACTCACATCAAGAAGATGTAAGGAAAGGGTATTAGGTGAAAGGAAAGTTGCTCAGTTAATAAGAATGAGAGAATGCCCCACTCAGAAGGCCAAGGCCCAGTCCATCAAATGGAATTGTGAGATATCCTACCCACTTACTATTATGTTCTTCTCCCCTCAGGTAAACTGCCAGTCTTAAAAATTACAGTCACTCCCCAGATCTCTTCAGACACCTTCAGATCTATTTGGGAAAACAGCCAGAAATTTAGTATTACTCGTAAAAAGAAGAAAAAAGGTATGCTGTTAGATATCTGTGCTGGTAAGTAGTAGCCACCAGGGGGCACTGTTTGGAGCCTGGGCACTCGGCTGGGGTCAGTGGTGCCTTGAGTAACACATTTTGCACTTGATAAGATCACCAGCATTTAGATTCTGGGTAACATTCCCCTAAAGCATCATTCCATTCTCATGGATGGTGATTGTACCAAGAGACCACAGAGAACAAGATAGTTCTCTCAAAGATTAGTGGAAACCATACCTTCTCTCCTCACACCTCCCCCCCACAACCCCAACACACACACACACCCTGGTTCTGGTTAGCCTATCTATGGATCTAAGATGGTGAATTTACCTACCTCAACTCTTTATAAAGCTGTACTGCCTCTTAGGGGGTAATGATTTACACATGCTTACTCTCTATCATATGAAGCTGAACTTCTTTTTCTTTTTTTCTATTTATGATTTCCTGTTCATCTTTTCACAGGCTAAAAACTGAATATGGATGCTGTATCTCCATATGGATTCTATCTACTTCCATGGCCAGCCAGACAAGCCTGGAAAGATATTCATTGTTCTATGATAATACTTTTCACTGTAACCAAGCCTCTTTCAAGTTCTAAAATTTGATTAAGACTATTTTATGAAAGTTCAAAGTACTACTAGTCCTATCAGGCTTGTCATTTTCTAAAACGTGGATTTCACAAGTAGGCCTTAGTGAAAATCAGTGGGGTCCTTCTCTGGGGCTTCTTCTCTTGTGCATGTGAAATTTATAATTTGAAAAAAGTCATGATCTTTATCTAAGAGAGAAAGAATCTTCTTTCCCAAATTATCTATAGTTGGGAACAACAGGAATTTAGGGAAATAACCACTTTCTAAAAGACAGCATCCCTAAAAATGGGGATCTTCCCCAAATGAACAAACTTCTGATGACTCAACTCCCTACCTTTACTAAGATTTCAGACAGCTCCACGGGAAATGGAAGAGGTGTCGCTGATCAATTCATGGATGATAAATTGGATTAGTTAAGTTGAATATGGTACAGGGATGAAAGGCATGGACTGGGCATTTAGATGAACCAGAATTCTCTGTGGCAGCCTGCTGCTTTCCATGTGACCTTGGGCAAGTCAGTTAACCTCACTATGCCTCAGTTTCTCCTTATGTAGGATACAGGTAAGAACAGCTCATTTGGTGAGCACTGGATGAGGTGACACATGTCAAGCATTTTAGGACAAGACCTGTTTCACAGTACGTTTTCAAAAGTAAGTATTAGTGGCTGGTATTATTGTTGACATTAGAATGGAGTCATTTCAGTTATTTCACTTAGAACAGCTAAACAAGAAAAATAGAAAAAAGAAGAAAAAAGACTTGAGACCTCTACAGCAAGATATCTCCACCCACTTCCTGGCCTCCAAGGCCTCCCATCTCCCCCAGTTCAAACTTCACCTCTTCCATGAGGCTTTCCCTCACTACATCAGTCCTGAGGAATGTTTCTGTCCCTCACAGCACTTAACACACCACTCAACAAACAGCACAAATTAGCATCTAGCCAAATGTGACCCCGTGTCCACATTTATATTTTACATATGTATGCATACTTGGCTCCCCTGCCAGATTTCTGGAGTTTGGTTAGCCCTGATCCAGGCACAAGGCCAGACATCAGGAATATAAGGGGATGAGGAGGCCCAGTAAGAAGAGGTGGGAGGCTCTGAACCCCAAACCTGACACAGCAGGTGTCCACCACTAGGTGGTAGTGGTAATCTTCTTAGGCTCTCTGTGCCTCAGCTTTCTTATCTTTTAAATGGAGATGTTGTCTGCTTTGCTTGGGAAAAAATAATATGACCCTAGGCTAGCAACAAAACTTGGGTTTCAAAACTGTCACCTTTACCGAACAGCAGTGGGCTCTTTAAGTTACTCACTTTTCTGGACCTCATTACTCCTACATATACAAGGAGGTTAAACTTTATCAGAGTTCTCAGACTGTGGTCCCCACGGTTCCCGGTAACTTTTCAGGGGACGGACAAGGTCAAAACTATTTGAGTAACAACATTCACAGTTTTTCACTCTCTCTTGAGTGTACTGTGGAGTTTTACAGAACCTGCACAATATGTGATATCTTTGTTCTAATAACTTGTAATGAATGAGTTTATCACTGTTATTTTTAAGTGAATTAATACATTTAAATTTTTTCCAATTTTCTTAAAAAGTAAATACATGTGTGTATGTATATAGGTACACACACATATTTCATATATATATATACATATATATATCTCCATCCTGCAAAAACAAAATGTCCTAATAATCTTTAAGTGTAAAGGGGTCCTGAGACCAAAAACTTCTGAGAACCGCTGAACCAGGCTTCTAGGAGATCCCAAAGTCATTCATTCACTCAACAAGTAACTGCCCTTCCTGAGGCCAGGCATTTTTACATACCAAGGATAACGTGGTGATCAACACAGGGTCCCCTCTCTGACGGCGTTTACATTTGGGAGGAATGAGGCAAACAAATATCAAGACAACTTCGAGAGTAGTAAGTGTCACAAAGGCATAAAGCAGGACACGTGCTTCCTGCACAGTATAGCCTCG